CGCCATCTTCCCAGAAGTCATAAGCCGTTTTTAAAGCACATTTTTAATGCAATTTTTGTGGTAAATTAGGTGCCTCGGCTGATATTCAGGTCGGCTTATACTTGTGTACGGTAATTTACACACAAGAAGCTTCCTCAATTGTTCTGCTTTAGCAGTCTTCCAGGACTAGAAAATAAAGCCCTTCCTCTGTTGCCCCAACTGTTTGTGGCAATAATACAGGTGTCAATGACCATGATGTTGTGAATTAAGACTTGAATAAAAAACTTTATGGGAATCTGCTACCAGTGGTCCAAAGGAGCTCAATTGGGAATTGAGTGAGGAGGTAACAGCCCTGATCACACCTACCAAAGAAAACGCAGTCTAGAGCTGAGCCATGTCCTCCGCCCGAGGCTGGCATCCCACCTGCCAAAAATCCATTTGCAGGCTCCCCGTATGGCTTAAACCTCCAGTGAATTCTCTGAGCACAGTTGAGGGATATGAATAGCCTTGCTATCAAAGAGCCAATTATAGCAAATGTAGTTAAAATGTAATACTTTTATCATTTATTTGCTCTCCCTTTTGACCTATTTTAAAGTAGTTTCCATTTTTAATATTTTCTGCACTTTCAAATTGAGGTTTTTCTACATTGTCATTTTGGCTTTGTTTGCCGGCTTCCTGTGTTTTCTTAACAGTTTGCCTAGAGACGGGGCATGGGTGGCCAGAGGGCCTTGGGGAGCTAACAATGACTATGAGAAGTCTGAAATAGACTTGTGGTGAGGATTGCACAATTTAACTGTGATTGAATGATTAAATTGTGTGCTTTGTGACTTCCCACGTACATTTCTAATACAGGGGGTTAATTTTTGCCAGGTTGACTGTCAAGTATCTCTAGGAAAGCTGTAAACAATTTGATACTTTTTATCTGTCCCTGGGCTGTAGACTGCCCTGTGCTGGTGTGCACATTGCAGGGACTGGGCATAGATAATGTAAATGAGTGGAAGTTGTAACCCAGCTTCAGGTACTATGCCAATGAAGTCCCGGCCACTTACCGAGAAGAAAGGGGTTGTCAGTTTGTAGCCTTCATGGGAAGGTCATGCCTTAAAATGGACAAGGTTTATGTATGTGAGAGGGCTTCAAAAAGTTTGTGGGAAAATAGAATGAAAATAGATTTTTTCCATGAACTTTTTAAAAGCTCCCTTGTCTATGCAGCACAGAAGCAGGCAGCAGGAAAGAAGAGAAGCAAAAATGAGGGGGGCGGAGAACTTCTTAAAAGACCTGGGCCACCAGTCAGGTGAAAGGGATGTAACGAGAAAAAAAAAAAAGAAAGGGATGTAACGCTGAAGCCAGCGGCAGCACTAGCAGCGACATTTTAATTTTTAAATGAGTTTTGAAAATGTACTTAAATCTGTGTTATGCACAGTGTGAGTGGCAGGGAAGTTCAATTGCTTATAATTAAATTCACGAAAAGGAACATTTTGACCAAGATATAACAGAACTTTACATAGTTTTATTAACATACATTGTGGTTGTAGAAAGCAAACTTTATACAAAAAGCTTTATACAGGTTAAAAATCCTTGGCTACAAAAAGCCATTTATGAGTGTACCTTCCACGCACAGCTTTTTCACATCATTGCTAAATATACATATTTACAATTACCATTTATTTTACAATGCACCAAAATGAGAAAAGGCCATTACAAAAGCAAATACAAAAAGGATAAAAACTTGAACTTGAACGGATATTAGGATGAAAATGTTGTAAAACTTTTTTTTTATCTAGAAAAGAATTTTATTTCTTTGAAATATCAAAACTAAGCTGTCAAGACTCTATCCTTGTTGCTTTCACTCTGATCCCAAGTTCCAACATTCAGATATAAATAGCCTAAGGAAACAGGTAAACCAATCAGATCAATGACTGCAACAAGCTGATCATGCTGACTTGACATCAAAAAGTCAGCAAGTGATTTTTAACAAAATGCAGATCTGGCAATTTTAAAATGTGCTATTAAAAAAAACCCCACCTATTTAAACTTAGCTCCCCATTTAAAACATGAGGAATTCCACGCTTCTGTGCAGTATGTAATATCAATAAGCTTCCAAGGAACTCAGCAACTCATCTGTAATGTAAGAAAATGCTACAATTATGATTTCATCTTACGGATCTGACCACTGCACAAAGCACTCATCGTTAATATGAACTCTATTTGGCGAATACTAGTTAAGGAACTAGCATTTATAGAACTGGTTTGGTAAGTCTATCATTGCACTGTGATTTTGTTAAGAATGTAGTGAGAGTACAGTACTTGAAAACACTTGGTTAAGAGACCAGCCAGGAATGTGTTAGCAAGAAAACTCAAGTTTCAATGTCATTGAGAACTTTTAGATCTGTAATGGGATTTGGAGATTTCAAACTAACAAGCATCATTACCACATACAAGTTAATTCTTTCACAAATTTATATTTTCTTCATTAGTGAACAGAAATCACATTGTAAGGTAACATTTAAGTAAACCAAGAAAATCAGTTTAATTTTTTTTTTCCAGTTTAATTTCTTAAAGGCAAGAGAAAACTTAAAAGCTCGGTGTTTCCAAAAAAGTATTTTTTCCCCTTAATTGGGACCCTTGTGTCATCCTTGGGTAAAAAGGTTTTTTTGAATCATCTTCTGCTGCAAATTTGCCATTATTCAACTTATTTCAGAATTACATAGGAGTTTAACTTCACAGTGAACTACTCAAGGTCTTTTGAATCGCTCATTAGCAGACCAGTGCTTTAAGAGATGTAAATTAATAGGTTATCTAAGGAGAACACTTCAGATTGAGTCTAGAGGCAGGTCTACAATTCAAAAATATTCAGAACCCTCCAAATGGAGATCTAGGTACAAGCATGATTTCCATTCAGATTTAATTTCACTTTAAATTGGGTACTTTTTAGCTCAAATAAATACCATGACAAATCAACTGAAATGTTTTAAGTAAAATCCAAAATACTTTAAAGGAACTGGCTCAGGTCTTACAGGAAAATCCTGATAATTTAATTAATATTGCCGTCATAAACGTGCACCCAAAATGGCTTATGGGAACTGAGGGAACACGTCTGTGAACACTGTCAACAACATGACACAGTAACCTGAATGATCTGTCCAGATGACAAGCCTTTGTGACTCCTGATTTGTATTTATTCACTCTCATGATTTTAGCAGGGCTAATTAAAGAGACATTTTACATTACAATGACTGCACAGATTCCAATGCTTACAAAACATTATCTCTAAGAATGTATTCTTCGTCTTCACTTACAAATTACTTAGACCATCAAATGGACTCCCAGCAATCAGAAGGAGGTTGAGGAGATGCCTTGCTGATCAGAACTACAGCAGGTTTCACTCTGAGAAGGGGGGGGGGAATGGACAGACACCGACCTTAGATGCCTGCACAAGCAACTACTTCCCAGCAGTGGCTGAAGCAGGAACTCCAGGGCAGCCTGTTTCTCACTCACTGCTCAACACCTTCAATGGCTAACAGGCCATTAATTGCACAGTTACAGTGTTAAATATTCACTTTACTAGTGTCTTGAGTGTAACCATTAACTACCTGCATTTTAACTTTTCAAAAAGCTTCATTAGTTGCTGGAATCTTTCTGAGACCTAAAGAAATTTAAAAAATTAGTGTTAATTATCAGTATTTTTTCATCACTGATGAATACTTTCATAAAACACCTAGAGAGAGAAAGCTGCCCTCAGTAATATATGAAGCAATATCTAAGAAAAGGAACTGTCTTCATACAAAAAGTGACCGCCAGTTTAAATTTGAATGGTAAACTGTCAACAAACATCATTATAAAAGTGCTTGAGAATAAGTAAAATGAGATCAGGAAAAAGAAAAAAACTGCACTTTCCCAATTAACTTTTTCCATAATCTCACCAAGTTTTTAATTTAATAGTCTCTATAAAGTGCCATGTTTTTAAAGAAGTTGGCTAATAAGTATCTACGTAGTTTAGATGTTTTTTAATTAAATCTAGGAATTTATTTGGAACTAGCAATGACTCAAGAGACACAAAAATCGGGGAATTACCTGATTTGGATTTTTGTTCAACTTGGCAGCTAAAGTAGTGAATGTTTTCACCGATGGCCCTTTTTTCTGACACTCCAATAAGATTTCCCGGTCATCATTTCTGTGGGGAGAAATATGTTACTTAGCTTTTGTTCCTCAGAGGAGACGACTAACAAAAATGCCAATGCCTTAATGTCCACCAATAGGGGTGATATTTGTATTAAAATCCACAGAAAAAAGCAAAAAGTGAATATGCCAAAATAACAACAATATGTATCTCTTGAGACATGGTTTCAGAATGATTTTAATCTTTGAGTTCACCTGCATTTACCAAATTGACTACAACAAATGTATTGTTTTTCCTGTTGATGAAATTAACAATCTTTAAAAAAAATTTAACAAAATTTACGTTGCTTTCCTTTTATGTTTAGCTTACTTCTAATGTATACAGTACTTTACAAATCAAGACCGATAGGTGATCACACACTTAATAAACCCAGGAAACACAGCTAGAATCCAGATCTGCTAATGCTTTGTTTTCTAAGTGGTTCGAATCCATGTACGTTTACTTCTACAGTCTGAGATTGATTTTGCAGTCCTCAACAAAAAGCAGCGCTGGTTTTGAGAAATGCAGCTTCCCACATTCAGCCCCCTAGCCAGTGATGCCAGTGATGGAGACTGCCTATCTCTGTTCTAATCCCAACACGGGTTATCTTTCTGTCTGAAAGGTAAACTACAGATCTGCAGTTCTTAAAAAGCATACCGGAAAAAAAAAAATGCAACTCAGTTATGAAACTTGTGGGGTAAAAACTCAAATTACATACATTCCGATTCCCCCCCCCCC